TTCACATGACTCCGCTTTATTAAACAATGGCAAAATGAAAAATGAATTCACTATACATTGGTCATCATGTTTGGAAATGCAATAGAATGATGAATGTACCTTGAATTGAGTAAATGGTATATCTTTCTTAATACGAAATGTACACACTTTATCATGATTCACAAGATCAAAATAAATCTCCTTCCCAATTTGTTCACCGAGGTCTTCATCACGAGCTACCTGATAATGGAATGAATAATTTCAGTTCAAATGTTTCGTAAATATAAAGATACAAGAAGTTAAGGATAGAGACTAAAAGTTGAAAGAAACCTTGATGATCGTGTAGAGACGAGCCTCTGCTTTCTCCTTTCTCTTTTCTTCTCGCTCTTTATTCAGTCTTACCTGAAATTTGAGGTCGATGAAAGATTATTATGACTGAACCAATAGAATGAGATGCTCGGTTTTACATCGACGAATTTATAGGTGAAAATATGGGACACGTATCGTAGTCTTTCAGTAAAACTAGATATTTTATGTATATATCTCTAAAGTTGGTATAATATTATACATTGGCTCCCATGCTATAGGACGCCTTAGCGGTGCATTTGGTTGAATGTTGAGTTATTTATCTAGAAATCATAGATTCGCCTCTGCTTATCAACCACATTGCATATAATCTTTTCCTTGTTGCTTACACATGTATAAACAAGCATGTATGTGATTGAATATTTTACGAGTTCAAACAATGAATTGTTGCCAAAATATGAACTACTAGAACTTATCAAAATTCCAATGGCCTAAACTCTGACATAATCTCGACATTTGGAAATACAATGTTGTCGATGAACAATCTTAGATGTTCCATGTGTGTGTGGAATGTTGGGTTTGTATCATTCGTTACTTTGGCTTCCGCTATACTTAGATTGTGTTTGTATAAGATGACGATTATTTATGTGATTTTCACTAGTCTTTGTTGAGTTATCTTGTTTGCTAGGTAGGGTAGGTGCTCGTTAAGTGCCAATCACGACCTTCCAGAAGGGCAACTCCCTATTCAAACCAAAAGAAGTACCTCATCTCACTTACGAGGACATTGTTGGAGCTGGGCTCCGCACTATGAGGGTTTGTTTTTTTATCTTTCTTATAGAGGTCCGATCAAATAGGGGATCAGAATTCTCCTGGTGTTTTAACTAGTCATTAACAGTCGGCTTAATTAGTACCCGTTCGATCGTGACATTCACAAATTCATTCAGTATCACATTTTAAAAGATTAGTTTCACACCACATTCACAGTGAACTAAATTTAGCAGCTATAAAATAAATAAATAAAATCAATATTTTCAAAACTACCGCAAACACAGCTATTTTAAACAAAACAAAAAACACACAAAACAGAGTAAAACTATAGAAACAAAGTGAACATACACAGTTAATAAATTCAATAGCATTGCATTTTAAAAATAAACTTTAGCTCAACTTCTCACATCAACCACATAAGACTATATTCAGACATTTTCGACGTTTGGTCATTAAAATTGTGAGTATTTGAAAAAAACTATTTTTTGTTTTCAAAGCGAAAAAATTGGAGTTGTTTTTGAACTTTTGTGACAAAAGTGAAAAAAATACATTTTTGTTATTTTTCAAATTCCGGAATTAATCCAGGAGTATATCTTTCCACTGATCGAAAAAAGAAGAAGAATATAGTTATTCTTCCATCGGTTAGAAAAAGGAAATGATTTACTATTTTTCCTTTTTAGAAAATCAAAAATTCAATAGAATTCAAGTTGAATTATCGGAATTTTACGATCAAACGTGTTTTTCCAATGTTCAACTCCAGAAAAAAGCAAAAATAAATCAGGGGCAAAGCTACGGTAACCAAAAATACGAAAAACACGCAAAACAGAGTAGAAATGTAAGAACAAAGTTGAGTAAACATCGAGAAACTAAATGAAACTAGAGAGAAAAAAAATACAGAGAGATGATGATGAAGAAGAAGAAGATCATTACATCCATCGGAGTGAGGTCGCCGGAGAGTTCGCCGGAGAACGGAAGACAGTAAAGCCAGCGGGGAAAATTTGTTGAGCGGGAGTGTTTTGCTTGTGTGACTTCAAAAATATATATGATTTGTTTGATGTAATTAGATTACTGAAATAAGGATCAACACACCTAAATATCTCGGGTTAGGTAGATTGTATTAGAAGAAATAATGCATTTATTAACTTTTAAAATTAGTAATTAGTTATACACTCTAATCTCTATTGTGCATTAGTATGAATAAAAACAACTCATCAATAGCTTTTTTTACATCTTTTTTATCAATATTACGAAGTGAGAGGCTGGAGACAGGAAAAGAGTCGAGTCGATTAGGCTCAACAATCGAAAAAAGCAAAATGAAATCAGAATTTGACTCAAAAAAGAAACAAGGCTAAAAATACAATGACCGTTCACCATCTATAAAAAAAATCTAAAAATTATTGTTCACTCTATAAATACAAGACAAACTCTGAATATATATGATAAAATGTTTGAACTTGATCTTTTATGTGATAAAATGTTTGAACTTGATCTTTTATGTGTTAGATAAGTAAAAAACCAAATCTAACTTAAATTAGAAGTTATAAATACTCATATATTGTATTTGTGCAAATATTTTATTTATATATTTATGAGTTTATGTTTCAAATAGTGGACAAAATTAGTTATAAGCTTAAACTTAATGTATATCAAGATCTTGAACATGTTAATCTTACGGAGATGACATTAGACATAATATACCTAAAGCTAAATTGTCGCAAAGAAAAGCTGCAACGCCACTTGAAATTGATTTCTTTCTCCTTTGCTTTAACTTCACGTTACCATAATCATCAACGATGAAAAAATTATTGCCATAATTTTCACATTTCAGAGTAGACAATATTGAAAAGTGATAGAAAAGTATGTAGTAATTCTAATGGGTGGATGAGAGAATCAATTTATAAAGGTTAATTAAGACTTGATTCGATACATTCATTAAATAATCGATGTACGGATAATCTATTCTTTATTAAATATTAGTATTGCCTTTCATTAATTGGCTATAACTAAATAAGTCTTACATGCTCCCAATTTGACCAATGACCACATAACATCAATATTTTTTTTATGATATAAACATTAATTGCACATAAAATAATTTTCTTCTATAGTGTCCATCATCCATATCACTAGTGTGAGATACGACAGTTATACATAATTTTGTATTATGTACTTCATTCCGTATTCTACTATATTAACAACTTATCATACTAGGTTCGTAAGTTATAAAATATATAACATTACGATCCACAATATTGAGACTTATCATATAACATCTCAAACTAAGAATGTGTATATCATTATGAAAATAAAAATTTCATTAATGTATAAGCAGAAATTTGAGCTCAAGGTGTCAAAATATCATAAATGCATTAACTAGAAATACAATCAAGTCTCATTATTTGAACATGTTTTTTTATATGCTTTTGGTTATAAGTCATTCGTTAATAAATCTGCAATCATAAAATTAATCATAATATTCTCAATTTTCCTTCTTTGTTATGAATTTCTTTCTTTAAAATGAAGTACTTCAATCTCGTAGGTTTGATACAACATTTATCGTTCTTAGAGAAAAATATCATTGCAATGTCATCACAATAAATTTTTACCTGCTAAGTAATGATGTTGACTATTCCAAATCTTAAATTCAAGTTCCCCAATAATAATGCATGAATTGTGGATTCAAAACATGGAACAAATTCTGCTTTCATAGTAGATATAGAATGACAAATTGGTTAACACTCTTCCACGATATTGATCCTTCAGCTAATAAGAACAATAAGAACAAGTAACCAAATATGGACTTTCTAGTATTAACATATCCAACGAATGTGATGACTTTTAAGTGATTTGATCTAATTCTAAATGCAAACATGTAATCTTCAGTTCCTTTCAAGTACCTCGAGAGCTTATTTGCAGTTTTTTAGTGATCAATTTTTGAATTATTTTGATATCTTTCTAGCAATTCGATCACAAAATTAATATTTGATATTGTGCAAGTGTAAACATACATCAAACTTTTAACAATAGAGTAAGGATTTGACTATATATTTTTTTCGCTATATACATTATTCTTTGGTTATACATGAAATCAAATTTGTCTTCCTTACGAATAGGAACAATTCTTGCTGAATAATTGTTCATGTTAAATATCTATAGTACTTTTTAAATTAATTTTTTTTAGAGACGATTCAAATAATTTTCATAATTCATTAAAATATTTTATCCCTATCACATAAGATGTCTAATCCATATATTTCATTACAATATATATAGAGAAAGAGTCTTTTATTTCACGCAATATGTCTAATCATTAGCAACAAGTAAAGAAATCGTCAACATACACGACAAAATATAAACTTGCTCCCACTGGTTTTCTTGATACACACATCGATCAACGACAATCTTTTTAAATCCAAAAGATGTTATGTTATCATTATCGAAATTGAATATTGAAAATATTAAATTGACTATTGAATAATGAACTGTTTGCCATATATATATGAGTAACATTAATAAATTATTTAAATGTCTTGATTGACCTATGCAACCATGCCAATAAATTCATAATGTTAAGACTTCAAAATAAATATCTAACTTTTATACCTGATTTCTTTAAAAACAACATGTTTAATATTAAACAAATTATAAATACATTTTGTCAATATATATATATTTGATTATGTAATTATTACCAAATTATTGTATTAAAATTTAATTCATCACTCTAAAAGTTATATTGAATCAATCTTTAAAAATTTAATATTTACTTTTAATCATCAATTAATTAAATCAAATTTTAAAATATCGAATCAAATATCAATCGCTTTATCCTACTTACCAAAAAATAAAAGGGCAAGACAGCAAATCATTTATTTACCGCCACGCCCGCCAATGCCAATTCGCCGATATTTTTCTCGATTTCCGTGTCCATCCACGAAAATAAAACCCTAATTTCCCCCTCAATTTCCATTTTTTTCCCTCGTCTTTTTCTCTCGGTGGTTTTGAATAAATGGCGGCGGCGGGAGACGGCAGAACGGCGAGTTCCTCAGCCTACGAAGGCGGAGGAGCTGGAGGAAAGTTCCGGAGACGACCGTTCCGTAAGAACCAGACTACTCCTTACGATCGACCACCGACTGCCCTCCGGAACCCTAGTTGGCTCACAAAGCTCGTTGTCGATCCTGCCACGAAGCTCATCACTTCCGGTGCTCGACGGTTCTTTTCTTCGATCTTCCAAAAACGTCTTACCCCTGCTCCGACGCCATTGCCACTACCTCCGATGCCATTGCCACCTCCTCCAGGTTCTGATTTACACATTTCTGTATTGGACTATGCTTATTTGAATTGTTTGGAGTTTGCTCTGAATTTGCTGTTTGTTCCGTAGCAGCATTACATTTGTTTAGTCAAAAGTTGTAATTTTCTTTCTTTGGGGAGCTCGATAGAGTGTGATCTATATTAAATAGATTTGTATAATGAATTACAACTTAGAAATGAGGTGATAAGTAGTAGTAGTTGTGTGTCCAGAAAGCAGAATGCTTTTGATGATTTTCATTTAGTCTCAAAGACTCAAAACACAAACTTGGAAAGCTTGTTTTTTTTCAGTTGGTATATCTAGTTGGAAAGCTTGCTTTTTTTCGCCCTTTGATGAATTTAGAAAACTTGCTGTAAAAAAGTTTGTCCTATGCTGCATACACTTTCTTTATGATCTATTCGTGTGTAAATTGGTGTGTGCTCTGAATTGTTTGTTATTCTGTTGCGTTACATTTGGGTTTTCAAAAAATATAATTTTCTACTGTGTTAAGTAAGACTAAAGAGATGTCTGCTATCTTCTTTTCCTTAAAAAAGAAAAAGATGTGCTTTCCTAGGTGTGTGTTGGGCCAATAGAGCAAAGTGAAGACAACTGATTCATATACTAACTCCACCTAATTTTGCTCTTAAGTCATTTTCTGACATTTATTAGCTGAACATCTTGCTATGAACTTCATTTGCTTCTTCTTTTTCATTACTTTTATGTCAGACTTTAGTTAAGACCTGATTTCCTTTTTCATATAAGCAGAAGCAAGACAAGAATCAAAAGATGTGCAGCAGGAGTCTTGTCTTAAAGTAAGTTTACTATGCATAATTCTTGTGCTCAGAACTTCTGAAATCTGGTGCTTATGTATGTTACTTTTCACGTGTTTTCCTCACATGAATTGTCCGTCTTCCAAGAAACAACCACTTTTTTTCCTTTCCTTAGGAATATACTTATTTTGATGAACAATTCTTCCTCTTGATGAAGGATCATGCTGGAGCAGTAGTAGCCACTGGACATGAAGTTCGCAATGCTGCATGCAGCTCTGACGACAGTGCATTCTCAGAGCTTGAGCAACTGTTGAAACAAAAGACATTCAGCAGGTAAGCGTTGTGATAACGTAGCAGTTGTTAGAATTGTGTCTGCTTTATCTCTTATTTCAGGTTTCGGTGGCTCTACATGTTTATCAAATGTAAATTCACTGCCACTGGTACATGCTCTATCAGTGGTTAATACTGTCATTATATTCTGATGTGCATTTTCATATCGATGAACTATAGAAAACTGGAAGCCAGAAATTTGATCTTGCTGTTGCCTCAGACTTTGGGTCAATCGTAAAGGTATTAACAAGCGATGTGTGGTGGGCACTTGTTACAGATTCAAATCCTTCTTGGTTTTGGTTTAAGTGAAGAAGGGTAGATTGGCTGGCCAATTATACAGTTGAATTTCGAAGCTGTAAACAACTCATTTCTTGATCATCAAAAATGTCTTTTTTTACTTGTTATACGTTTTTGTTCCTCGTAAAGTACTCTTTTCTTGTCATAAAAAAATTACTCTTTTCTTAATAACTGTGGTGTCCGGGCCAGTTTGCGCATACCTCGTTTAATTTCATTGTACCTGCTTCCTCCCACCACCACCAACACATGTATCGTGTGAAATTGTCCATCAAGAAGTGAATTGCTATTTTTTCATTTAGATTAAACAATTTCTTTTGAACTCTAACGTAATCTGTCTGAATGTTATGTTCTTGATGTTGGCCTCAATTGAGTTCATCTGTTTCTGGATGAAGGGTTAGTTAAAGATACGTGCTGGTTTTGTAGCATCCTTTTTTGTCGTAGCCACTACTTTATAGAGCTAACCCCTTGATCATCCTTATTAGGTACTTTTAGTCAATGTATGGGAGACTAACGTTCTTATAGGAACCAATGAAGTTAGAAATCTGGTTCAGTTGAATTGACTTTTCCAGGCAGGACTTACCCAAAAGACGAAGAAGAAGAATTAAATAGTACATTGATATTTGGTTTCAAGGTGGCATATGGTGTTTAGTGTTTACTAATATGAGATTTGGTGGGTGCAGGGATGAAATTGATCGCTTGACAGAACTTTTGCACTCCAAAACTGTAGATACCCCTGCTGGGAATGATAAGGGTGCTGTTGCTACCCCTGTCACAAGTTCAAGAGTAAGATGGATGCCTTGTTTGGGTCCTCGACATATTAGCTTTGTTGCAAGTATGTAAATATTGGGTCAGTCTCTGACATAAATGTGTTGATGGTTCCAGGCCCCTAAAGGGAATGTTGCATCGGCTGCTGAACTTGCAAAAGCTTACATGGACACTAGGCCATCAAAGGCTAGTGTGAGAGTAGATTCACCAGAGCTAAAAAATGTAGCATATTCCCAAAATTTGCCTATTACATCAGTGACTACAAAGACTGCTGGTCTTATTGGGGTTCAAGTAAATGGATTTACCCCTCCAAGGTCTCGTGGAAGATCTGCAATATACCACATGGCTCGCACACCGTACTCCAGACTTCGTCAAACTGATGGTCAAATGGTGCGTATGCTTTTCTGCGTACTTTAAGTGTTGGAAATTATTTAATTTGTTAGAATTTTTTGTTTAACTTTGGTCCTCTATCAGGCAAGTAGCTCCACACATAATGCTTATAGCGGGCCTTCTTTATCTGAGTCAGTCTTGGAGCATGATGGATATTTTGGCTCTAAACAGGTATTATTTACAAATCACTGTGGTATTGAGCTGGTTTGCATTCTTTACTTGTATTGCCATCTGTGAGTGAATTTCAGTTTTTTCCTCTTTCAGCCCCTCAAACGGAGAAGTTCTGATCTGGAAGATGATATCGGCTCTGTTGGCCCCATTCGCAGGACTCGACAGAAACCAAATCTCCTGTCACATGGAATTTCACGTCCTAGTCCTGGAGGAGTTGCTTCTGCTGCTGCTGATGTGCCTACAAGGTATGTTCACATCCCTCCCAAGCCCAGTGAGACAGCTGCAAAGATATTGGAGCATCTTGAAAATCTGACCCCAAAGGAGAAGTCATCAGAATCAAGACTAGCTGCAGGGAGTGATAAAACACCCAAGAAATTGTCACCAAACATGCTTCGCGGACAAGCTCTTAAAAGCTTGGAGTCTTTGGATTCTCCCAAGCTGCTACAGAGTGCACAAGACAGCCATAAGTTGGAAAATTGGTCTAAGGTTATTCCAACCAATGGCCATGATTCTAGTTTGCAGAAGCAAGGCAAAATAGAACAACATCGGCAAAATGAATCTATTAACAGGCCACCTGTTGTAGCAAAGAATAATGAAAAAAATTCATTTGAAGATGCTCAACATGCTCAACCAGGTGTGGAAACAGCTGATTCACTGGATAAGAAGTCTTCAGTTCCACCTCAGAAGAAGCATGCTTTTAGGATGAGTGCACTTGAGGTTCATTCCCTTTTTTTCAACTTATTTGTGGTCTTTGACTATCTTTACTAGCTTTGAATTGGAGTCCTACTGTGTTACAACAAATTTGGGCCTTGTCGGTGCATCTTCTGGATACTTGCGAACATCTTGCTCTTTTGTATTGCACTTTTCAGACAATTTGTGGCGGTGCAATGGTGATTTCTCTTTAGACCGATTCCTTCTATTTCATTTGTGGTGGTGCAATGCCGATTTCTATGTAGACCAATTCCTTATTAGTGTTCTCTTTCATTGTCACTGACATGTTATATAAGTCTAATTAACATCTTACCTTCTTTGCAATCAAATATAGTCGCAGAAAATGAAATGAAGGGAATACTAGTGCTTCATGACCATTACCCATCTAAATTTTGGACTATTTACTTTTTTAGTTTTATTCATCGGTATCTTTGTCAAGATTCTTTTGTAAGCTTGGGGATTTGCTGACAACAACCAAATTTAGTTCATAGTCATTTTGTTTAACTGTTATTCTCGTCTTCACAGGACTCGTTTGAGATGGATGAGGATATAAACTTTGACAAGTCTGCCTCTCAATTGGCTGAAGGAAGAGATAAGATGGGTATATCTGGTGCTGAAAAGAAGTCTCTGTCTACTGATGAAGCCCTGAACAAGCCCGCTTCTCTTTCTGAAACAAATGCTAACCTGGGGATTTTGAACAAAAGAAATGATATGAAGGTTCCTGATGCTGCTCTTATCAGCGTCAGCAGCCCCAGTTTCCTGCCCAGTTCTGATCCCCTGTCACCGGAGGTTGTCCCACCATCATTTGGGTCAAACAAATCAAAGGAGTCGAGTGGTGACAAGGTCCCAGCTCTTCTATTTTCATCATCATTCCCTCTCTCAGGGTTAAAACCAGAAAGCTCAAGCAGGTTAGTTCCTACTTTATCAAATTCCAAGGATATGTTTTTAATTGTTATTACTTTTGTCACCATGTTCTACAATGCATTTGTGTCTAATGATAATGATAGCAGATACAAAGCTAGCAAGTCTAGAAATGTCATGATATTTTTTGTTTTGTTCTTTTAACCGTCAAAATGTAGGCACTTGGGGTTCCAGATATTTTGCACAATGTGAACATCTTAAGCTCTTGTGACTTACACTCCACTACACTCTAGAAATTCTTTTTGATGTGATTGATTAAAAACCTAGGAGAAAGTAACACAAAAGTAGTTACTGTCAGAAGAAATCTTGTGATATTTTTGTTTTGTTCTTTTAACCTTCAAAATTGTAGGCACTTGGGGTTCCACGTATCTTGCTGTGTAAAATCTTAAGCTCTTCTTACTAACACTCCCCTCCACTCTAGAGATTCTTTTGATGCGATTGATGAAAACCTAGGACAAACTAAATGTTACTGGTAATTACTGTCAAGTATGACCGTTAGATTGCAAGGTCAATCACTTGTTAAAAGAAGTCTAGTAGTTGAATTTTATTTGTTGAGGAGTGGCAAAGAAGACTTTAAGCTGAGAACAAATAATGAAGAACTTGAAGATGCTATTCAGCCTTCTGTAGAAAAATCAAGTGAAGGAAATTAGTGTGAAGTCCTTTTGAGTTTTATGCACCCTTCTGGTACTAATTGAAGGCAGTTATCAAATTTTTCCTCTTTATCTGCAGTTTATCCAACCCTGCTTTTGGCCTGGCTGGTGCTTCATCGGAGCTCCTTGAGTCAGATAACTCACAGAAGGATGGGAAAAGCAATGGGAAATTAGAACCTTTATCATCTGGTTTATCACCTTCAGTTTTATTTGCTGCTCCATCAAGCACTTCTAGCTTCAGTAATGGACAGTTCACACCTAGTCCTGCTATCTCAGCCACTTCTCTCTTGGCATCAAGTAATTCCCCCAAGGATGTTCAATCTTACAGTTCAAGTGAGGTTGCCCATTCCACAAGCATTTCAGCTGCTGTTGGTGGTGGTCTGTTTGGTTTTGCTGCAGCATCTTCAGTATCAACTGAACCTCTTATCAAATCTGGTCCCTCTGAAGTTCCACCAATGGTGTCAACGCTATCAACAGCTTCCACTGCAGACGATGCAGACCTGAAAACCAAAGCAGCTAATTCTGACAACTTGAGTAGCAGTTCACCTTTTGCGGGCTCATCATTTGCATCTACAAGTCCTGGAAATAGTATTTTTGGTTTTAGTTCATCAGGAATGTCCACAGTTACTACAGCTAGTGTCCTGTCTCAGAGTTCCGTTTTCAGCACTGGAGCTCAGTCACTTGTTAGTGCTCAAACTTCTCTCACTGGATCAGACAATACCAGAGTCACACAGAGTGTTCCTGCTCATTTTGGATCATCTACTACATCACCAGAAGTGGGCAATTCCGGAATGACATCTTTCTCCTCTGTCGGTTCTGCTTCAAGTAATACTGGCATAGTTTCTGCTGCTGCTTCAGATAGCAACCCCGTTGGCTCCAGCGCTGCTGCTTTTGGAAATTTTAGTTTTGGGGCAAGTTCTTCAACCTCATCTACGATGAGTAGTTCAGTCGGACCTAGCAGTGGGACAACTCAGCTGGCGTTCACTTTTGGTGCTAGTCCGGCAGTTCATGCAGCCACCACTGCACTTGCCACTTCCAGCAATGCTACTTCTGCTATATTTAGTTTTGGTAATAAATCTTCATCTTCCTCGGCAAATGCCGTCGACACCTCTACCCGCCCTAGTCCTAGCACATTTAATTTTGGTGGTAGTTCTTCAGCTTCCTCATTGAACAATGTCAGCATGTCTAATAGTGCTGCTCCTGGAATATTTAGTTTTGGTGGTGGTTCTTCAGCTTCTTCAACCAATACTGTCAGCACCTCCACCAATGCTACTCCTGGTGTATTTAGTTTTGGTGGTGGTTCTTCAGCTTCTTCAACCAATACTGTCAGCACCTCCACCAATGCTACTCCTGGCGTGTTTAGTTTTGGTGGCAACTCTTCGGCTTCCTCAACAAATACTGTCAGCACCTCTACCAGTGCTACCGCTGGCATATTTAATTTTGGTGCTAGTTCTTCCATTCTGTCAACAAATACTGTCAGCACCTCCACTAGTGCTGCCCCCGGCGTATTTAGCTTTGGTGCTAGCTCTTCAGTTTCGTCAACAAATGCTGTCAATGCCACCAGCACAGTCAGTCCTAGTCCATTTGCTTTTGGTGCCAGTTCTGCCTCTCCACAAACTTCCAGTGCTGCTGGAATTTTAGGTTCCAATTGGCAGGCCCCTAAGTCTCCTGGCTTTAGTTCCCCATTTAGTTCTGCTACCCCTACTGGGTTTGCATTTGGAGCATCTTCATCTTCTTTTACTCCTCCAGCCACCACTGCTGCGGTCTTTGGATCAGCACCCAGTACTCCTAGTGGACCAGCCTTTCCATTTGGTTCAACTTCTTTGACAAATCCGTCTACGCAGGCCATATTTGGGAACTCTACTTCTCCTTTTACTGCATCCCCTGGGAATAATAACCAGATGACCATGGAAGACAGCATGGCCGAGGACACTATGCATGCATCTTCCCCTGCAGTTGCTTTTGGTCAACCTTCTGTCTCGCCCTCTCCTGGTGGTTTCATGTTTGGTTCAACACCTAATCCATTCCAATTTGGTGGCCAGCAGAATCAGGCAGCTGCTGCTGCTGTTCAGAATCCATCTCCATTTGCAGCATCAGGCAGTTTAGGTGCTGGAGGGAGTTTCTCATTGGGTAGCAATGGTCCTGACAAATCAGGTCGAAAGATTGTCAAAGTTAATAGAAATAAGAACAGAAGGAAGTGAAGCAGTTGGCAACAACATTGGATCCTCATGGTAGATATTGTTGGCAAGATGATTAATTTTTCGATGATATATCAGCAGCCATGGTTTATGGGTTTGCGCTATTCTCTTTTTTCTTTTTTTAAATCTTGCGCTTTGTAGATCTGCATCTCCAGGAAGTGAAGATCTTGTAATCCTATCATCTTTTTTGGCATAAAGTGTCACAATTTTGGGCAACATTTCTTGGTAAAGTGGTTGTAGTTGTATCAGTAGGGGGCTGTAAGAGAGCCTGGTTAGCCTTTGTTTTTTCTTTCTATAAATTCGTTTTCTGTACTTGTAACATAATAAGGAAATGTTTGTTTCTCTAAGTATTTCTCTTTCTATCGAGGACTTATTTTCGAGATGAAAAACATATTCCTGAATCAGTATTGCAGATTAACGTTATGTAATTTCTTCTCACCAGTTTAAATTTTGATGCTCAGAGCTACCTGGACGTGGTGCACACTACCCGATGGATGGTGCATGGAGCTACTCAATAGTAGGTACCTAATAGAATAATCGCGTAAATTAACTAGGACATTTGGCAGGAGATTCTGTTTGGACAAATATTTTACTCCATTGAATACTATATATGCCAGATCATTTATTTAAATTACTCTTTCAAGAAAAGCACAACTTATTTGGAAATAGAAAATATGTGATCCTTAAACCAATATTTAAGAAATGAACATATATTCTTTGAATCTAAATGCATGCAACAACTAATCGATTAAGAATAGCTTAGCAGTTAGTACTAGGCACATATACTCAGCCTTTGATTACAAGTTATTTGAAACAATATCTAATGGAACGCGTATCAGAAACAACCTATCTACCCTACAAAGGTAGGGGTAAGGTTCGTGTATATCTTACCATCTTAGACTCGACTTGTGGGAATACATTGGATATGCTGTAGTTGTTGTTTGAAGAAAGTCAGTTCAGAGTTTTTAGAACCTACCCATATTTCCAAATTATTGAGTCATTGTTAAAAAAAATTAGATTATAACTCGATTTGCAAAAACTATTATCAATTTAGACATTCAAAATTAGATGTTAGTTCAAACGACAAGTGCAACAAGAATGCAGTTTTTTTTCTTATATTTTAAAAAAATCATTGCTACCCATAATTAAGCGATAAATTTAGACCAAAAAAATACTTATTATTAACTGTAGTTAAGTGCTTAATTAAATTTTATATAAAGACAAATGTAATGCATTTATTTGTTTGGTGTAAGCATCGAGTTTAATTCGGATAATATTTTTCCGCAATATTGTGCTTGCTTGAAATAAAATTCTGTACATATGGTTCATACGGTTCTATAAACAAGAACTAAATCATTAAGATTGAAGAAAATGAAAGATTTTGGATTGTGCAAAACTCCCTTTTGTAGGACTTCATCAATATATACCAATTAAGCAACCTAACATGTACAACTTACAATAATATATGTGGATCATTTACATACAAGAATAAGAAAAGAAAAAAGGCCAAAAAGAGAGAAAAAAAGAGACAAAAAAAAGACTAGGAAAAAAACACCAAATATGGTAATGGACTTGTTAAAAGAAAATAAAAAAAAGAATGGTGATGGACTCAGCTTGAAAAATACTTACTCACACTCGATATTTACATTATACCATGTTTGTGTGATGGCCATGGTTAAATAATAATAACTTAATGTGCAAAACATCTATGTTGATTGGATGACCCCGGAAAAATGTTGTCACACTCGTATCAGATTGTTCAAAAATTACATAGATTTTGAAGAATCCGATACACATCCATTAATATTTTTCAAGAGTCGGTGCAATATAACAGAACATCAGGTGCGAGTAAATCTTTTCCCTCATCAACTTTGCCTTGTTGTTGCCAAAGGAACCACCTCAGCCAAAGGAGTAGGCAAAGGAGATGGAAAAGGAGAACTTCTACAATTTGGACAAGTAGGGTGAAGTCTAAGCCAAGGGTCAATACATTTGACATGAAAAATATGGTGACAATCAGGCAAAAGTCTAAGTTTATCATTGTCTTTATAATCAACCAAACAAATTGAACAACCAGAAGAAATTAAAAAATCCCTTTTGTTGTGACTCTTAGCTTGTGAATAAAGTAATTTTGGATAATTTCTCAAAGTTGTTTCATCAAGACCTTGTTGAATGAAAATCAATTGATTTTCAACTATACTTGTGTTGGTTGTGGTGTTGTTGACAATATTATGTGAAGAGGCATTATTGGTACTTGATCTTTTTCCAATATATAAGTAAGAAGAATAGGTGATGAGTATAAGTATAACAAGGATCAAAAGGGAAAATCCAATGCCATATCCATAATTTTCGAAGTTTTTTTCACCAATGTAATGATCTTGAGTATCTTCAATGCCATCTCCTATTGTGTTGTTCATGATGAGAGACGAGTGTCCTTGAAGAGAAAATCGTGATGAAAAAGATACTTGGTTCTTGAAATTTAGAGAAACTTTGAATCTGTATGTGTGTGTGTTGAGGTGGAAAATTATGGAGGAAAAATTGGACTTTTTTGGAGTTTAAGGAAAGGGAGAAATGTGTAGCTATTGAATGTTTTATAGATACTATATAGTATATGAATATAAGAGAACCTTTTATGTCATGGAGGATTAAGCAACATAAAAAGAGTGTTGTTTAGGCAAAAAAGGTTCTTTTTTTTCTTTTTTGTTCTTTTAAACTTTTATTGGTGTGGTGGAAAGGTTTTTTTTTGTTTGGGGTTGGGTGGGTTGGGTTAGGTGGGTGAGAGGGATGGAACATAGGATAACATAAAAAAGGGGCTAATTGCACTTTTGATCCTCTAATTATTAGTAACTTTTGATTTTTATCCTTTGTGATATTTTACTAAGCATTTTAATTTGGATTAATCAAAATGTGTTATTAGTCCTTCTAAATAGGGAATTACTTATATTTAGATTGTTAGAACTATATTACCTTCTAATATGTGATAACAATACAAATTTAACATAAGGAATGAGTAATTAAATGATATAACAGTTAATATTTCGTTAAATATAAGAATATTCACAAATTGAAGGATAACAAACACATACTACAATCAATTCAATGTTAAATATATTTTACCAGATATCACAAAAATTAAACCAAAATTCATTATTATATTTCAAGAATTAAAAATACAAATTTCCCCAAAATAACTAAAATAACAAAGAGACAAAAATTACAATGATAACATTAAATTCTTCATGCTGCCAATCTCAAACATGCAATTTATTCATGTCTTACTTATCATCAATTTCTTTTCAACAAGAAAACAATAAACAAAATTCCAAAGAAAAAAAAGGAAAAAAAACACATATTATGAATTGAATTAGCAAGCATGGTCCAAATTTTTGCAATTTGCATGTTCATTTCGAACTCTTCAGAAATATCGTTAGACATGTTCGCTTTTTCAAAAGTTACGTAATTTTTGAAATATTCAACACGAATACGATAATATTTTTGAAGAGTCTGAACAACAGTGCGACTTATGAAGAAGATCTCTTTGGAAGATTGAGAGAAGAAATGATAGAGGAAATAGCAGAGGAAATAGATCCAAGAAGAAGCACACTAGCAGAAGCATTTGCTATGTTGATAAAATTTTGTATATTTTGGGTAGTCTCATCATTGTCCTTAATTCTGTTATATTCCACTGTCAATCCTAATCCAGCAGCAGCACCAGTAGCCAATAGGAATAAAATTATCTGCAAAAAATATATACATGAATTATCACTTTTTCCGCAAGTTTCACATTATAACTATCAGTAATTAGTTGTGTATTTCTTTTTATTTGAATTATTGTTGTCTATGTATTAAAACACATCTCAACTACTCGGTACTTGAATTGATAGTTGAGAAATGTGTTTTAATATAAAGTGTACGGTCAAAAACACAGCTAAAATATTTTTGGTTTTACGATTTTCATACCTGAACTATTAGGTGTGCGAGTTTTCTACTTGAACTTTCACAGACTATTTATCAAAACACAGTTCAATGATCAATTATTCCTGAACAATGGTGATATTTCAAGTAGGAAAAGGGAACAACAGATAGTTGAGATGTGTTTCGATAAATAATTGATAATAATTTAGGTAGCAAACTCCGACACCTCGAAACATTGGGATACTTTTAGTGTGTTTTTTCAGTTTTTCACCGAGTGTTTCATAGCCCTATTGAGACCCCAATTAATTCAAACTCGAACCACATTAAAGTCTATTAAAACGAAAAAACACTTAACTAAAAAATTATCACTATCAGAGCTCAAACCCGAGATCATTGATATTATTTCAAAACCTTGTCATCATTGATTTGCATACCTTATCACCATAGAATTCAAAATAAGCAAGACCACTATCAATGGGACTTCCAGATTTCACTTGGAAAAATATTAACACAATTAGTAACAATGTGTAGGCCATTCCAATCACATCTGCAGATATCATATAACTGCATCCAAAAAATAAAAATAATTAGGATAAGTAAAAAAAAGCATATACACATTCATTTAATCAAGTCCTTTAATGCGCGACTCTGAATTTAGTCAGGTTCTGATGTGGAATGAAAAATCAATAAAATATATACACATTCATTTATAGGAGTCATTCACCCTAAAACAAACTAGGGACCTGGGTGAAGATGAGGTGTGCTGAGGGTGGTGGGGACTGGGGACACAAGCAAATCGAAATCGAAATCGAAATGTCACTTGTAAAACTTGTTTTCCATACTTCCACTAGAGAAGTCATTTTCCTCATTTTCAAAAAAATTGTTTTCTTACCGAACAAGAGAAAATTGGAAAATATTTTCGTTCGTACCGAACACACACATGAAGTATATTGTAAAGGGAAAAAATAGTTTTACCGGTAAACATGAATGTCAGTGGAATCAACCCTGATTGGTAAACCATAAATGTTAAATGTATCAAAACTATTAGTAGCAATGACAATCAATGACACCAACAAGCAGCTAAATGTTATGAGTCTCATCACTAGAGATCCCACTAGTGGTTCCAAGCCAATCATTAGTGAAGAAAATGTAGTACTAGTTGATGATGTTTGGTTTTGGTTCATTGTTGTTGTTGTTGTTGATGATGGTGTTTGGTTTTGTTCCATTGTTGTTGTTGTTGTTGATGGTGTTTGGTTTTGGTCCATTTGGTTTATCTTGTACTTTTACTTGCTAGTTGTGTTGCTACTAATAAACTTGCATCTTCACAAAGTCATTAAACCCCCCCTTTTATATTGCTTACAAAGTTATACTCCTTCTCCGTCTCATATTAGCTGTCCAACAATAATATATTTAGTGAAATCGCGAAAAAGGTACCTGGGAAAGGTAGAGTATATGTAGATTTTACGTACACTCTAAATTGTCCACTTTATTATAAATAGTTATCCTAAATTACTTGTCAATTAACAAAACCAGAACATAACTGATTAAATTTTTCCATTTTACCTTTACAACTAGTTCTTTGTAAAAAATGTTTGTAAAATTCTAAAAAAAGCTTATTATGGAGTAAATTAGTAAAATTGTCCTTATTTATGATTTCATAAGCAAAATGTAAAGAAAAAAGTAGACAACTAATATGGAACGGAGCGAGTATTAATTTTTGTGGTTGTTTGTTACGCCCATGAGTTCTTGGTTGTATAAGTTACAACCAAATTCCTTGGAGGTTTGTGATTGCTTGTATAGTTGTTTTCAAAGTTTATGTCTTAATCCATATCTGTTTTCAAAGTTTATGTCTTAATCCATATCAAATATATGTCCTCTTTATAATAAAAAATTAAAAAGAGCAGGCAGCATTGTTTCCCTTGTTAAACTTATCTTCCAGCTTCAGACAACATATAGTTGCAAAATATATTAACTTTAAATTCGCCGTAGATTATATTTTTCTTGCAATTCTGTTTTTTCGAGTTACAGGTCTATTGAAAATGATCTCTTTACCAAAAATTCTTGCAATTTTGTCTTTTCGAGTTACAGGTCTATTGAAAATGATCTCTTTACCAAAAATTCTTGCAATTCTATTTTTTCGAGTTACAAGTCTATTGAAAATGATCTCTTTATCAAAAATACTTCAAATTCTTCTCTTTTTGATTCACTTATAAAACTATGGTAGATATGTTGTTGTCATTGGAAGCTTCTACCGTTGATTTAATATCGATATCTTTTTTGCATGCTGAATGATTGAATTTGTTTTGTTTGATAGTTCTAATTTCTTGTAGATTATACGTTTATTTTAATGAGCTTACCTTCTCACAAGACAAGCACACCAATTTATTTCCTCTTTATATCAATTCTTCAATACAATATCAATCAAAGCATATTGCAATAATATGTTTGTAACATTAAAATTTGCTTAACAGTATCAGTTAGCAAATCCAAAACTCGAAATTATAAGCTAGTAAACTATAATATATCTTACGGCAGAGGAAATATTTCTTCAGACAATGTCATTATCTTGTCATACAAATACGTGAAAACAAGAGTTGAATCGTGACGTTAATTCTTTAGTGCAACTTCCGTGTTACCAAATTACTGTTGTGCACACTGAACTCTCTGTGCACCTCCATGCATGTCTTCATCATCTTCGTCATATGCCTCTTGGGCCTGTTGCTGCTTCCTCCGCATCTCCTCTTCGATGTTAACATCATGTAAGGTGGTCTCCTCGCACTCGTCCAATTCCATATCAGTCATTTGTGTTTTCGGTTTTGGTGGCAATACTGCTTCAAGGTTCTTGCATTGCTCGGGGGATAATGTGTCAGGGAATTCTACAGTAAAGTGAATGTATAGTTTTCCTCTCATAAATGGCCTTTGGTACATAGGCATTCCTTCATCATTTATGGCTTTAAATTGATCTGTCGTGGCCAAAAAAAAAGGTTCACGATTGATATCTATGAGCAGAGATTCACATATAAAGCATAATGATACCATAGAGATAAAAACGGACACCAAATTTCAACGAACAGCAGGAGAGACATAGTGTGTGCATGAAGAAAACAATTTGACTTACACTCGCTGTATTAGGGAGACAACAATATATCAACAAGTCCTAGGCATATATCAGAATGTAAAAGCAACTAAAGTATACTTTGGGCTTACCAGGCTTGACAACTTCTCCGGGTTGGGGCTTGATGATCAGCTGCCTATTATCTAGGTGAGTCAAGATGAACTGGAAACCACACAGGGCCTCGGTTAAGCTCAAGGTGTGCTCTACAAAGAGATCATCTCCCTTTCGCTTAAACTTGGGATGTTCCTTCTGTTGCAAGACAAAAACTATGTCCCCAGTGACAGTATCAGGCTGCCACAAAAAGTAAACATAAATAATGTGAAAAATCAATGGTTCCCTTTTTTGGTTGATAATAACATACAAAATGGTCATTATGACATAATCTAC